CATCGTCTCTGATTAACCATTCAGAGATCAGCCAGCCCTTTTCATAGTGCAATGAGACACCTGAAATTAGATTAGCAAAAGCCTGACTGGCTTTAACACCAACACATCTTTTCGCAATGTATAATGCCTGGGAATGCTTGACTTTTCCAGCTGCGTGTTAAGAGTACAAAATTACTTGGCTAAAAAAAGAACATGGCCAATTCAGAGAATGTGGTTCCACTCTAAACAGCACTTATACGGAATGCCAGCTAAGTATTAATTTCAAGTCCCATGTCTCCTGACTCCCAGCTATCTTTTAAATCAAACTAATGAGGATATATTATAACAGCACATGCACTTTAACAGTGATATTGGCAAGATGACAGGGAAGGTCTAGTTCATCACATAGATCGTTTCCATCTCCACCTTCTGTGATCTAAGGGTCAAAGTGGCAAATGACATCAAGGTTAGATGGGCCTGGACCTTCCTTTCCAATTACAGCAGTTGGGCTCCTCCCCATTATGGGAAAGGCTCTTACCTTATCTTCTGTCATTCAGCTAAGTCACACCCTACTTCCAACCTCTTCACATTGACCCAAACCCTGCTCCACTCCCTCACACGCACTCCCATGCCCAGCTAGGACTGAAAGAAATGAGAAGAGAGTGTTGCTCTGCTCTGCAAGAAAGCCTACAAGCTCCTGCATGATAAAGTCATCTCCACAAAGGCAGTCTATGTGGTTGTATTCGGAGGGGCACGTTGCCCGTAAGTCTGCAACTGCATGGATCTACTGTACAGGTAAGGGGAAGGGTGGGAGAGAGCAGCACAATGGCTGTGCAGGATTTTGCAATCTTTGATATTGGGAGGGATTCCGTATAAAGACTCCTGACTCTGGATTTGCAGTGGATTGCTTCAGTGGAATGTGACCCAATTTAAAACTGCTCCTCCTCCTAGATCCTCCCAGCTGTGTTTCCATCTCTCTCAGGTTGTTACGTGAGGCAGAGAGAGAGACAGCGTGAGTATAGATGTGGGTGTTACAGAAGCATCAATTCTAGGGAATGTTTTTTATTGAAAAGGTTTGCTAGGTATTCTGGTAGGCACCTATTTTAAACCTCCATCTCATAGCACCTGGCCAGACACTGTGCTTCAATCCTCTCCCCTGACTGCTCTCTACCTCCTCCTCCTGCTCGGGACTTGGGACTTTTTTTCCAAGCGGCTCTCTGCACTTGGACCAGCTTCTCTTCTCCCATTTACCAGGAGCATCCTCCCTTTCCAACAGCCAACACCTCACCTCACTTCTTTCAGCCTCTAATCACAACTATGATGTAACCCACTTCCTCTCTTACCACCGATTATACAGAGAGAGAGAGAGAGCGCAAGACAGCCATCTACAGCGTACGCATAGGAAAGAAAAGGTGAAACTGCCACTTCCAAATCTAAGGGCTGCAGGTGGCTAACGTGATTTCTGCACTAGGTTTTGCAGCACCAAGTCTGAAATTGACACTATGCTGAAGAAACAGTGCAACTCACAGAATAAGTATAAACTTAAGATGCTTCCAAAGGCATCCTGAATGCTCTCTCACAAGGGGAGCTGTATCCACCAAAGCGTGGGGGGAAGGAGAACATTGTAACCAAGAGTAAAGCCTACTTATCATCATATCCTAAGGTCGAAGTCCAATTCCTTTGAAAAGGGAGTACACGTAGTTTGTGGGCGACACTGTAAAGAGCACCTTGGGGAGATGGGGGTGAATTTTGCCTGAAAACAGGAACTCTGCTATTTTTATGCCACATTGTTTTCAAGAAAACAAACAGGAAAGAAAGAAGTGAAACCAAAGTTTTCAAGCTTCAGTGCCTAAAGTCAGGCATCTGAGTAAAGTGGAATGCTCAGCACCCGCCGCTATCACTGAGTTAATGAGCTGTGGGCACTCGGCACCTCTGAAAACAAGGTCACTTATTTAAGTGCTCAAATCCATATTTAGGCACAGAAGCAGCTTAGGAAAAATTTTTATCAACGATCACACACTGTATGGTTTCTATATATCTGCACTTGCTTAGGGGGCATGTATTCTCCTTGGCCAATTCTGATCAGTAAGTAGCCTTTAAAGATTACCATCCCACTGATATTTCACTGGCTACTTAAGAAAGTTGTGACTGTCACTTTCTATTTATTCTTCTTCTTCTTAAATTTCTATTCCAATTTTCCAGGAATAGCTGAAACTAAACATTTGTGTTCAGTTATATTCCTGCGTCTGCTTTCAGATTGAAAGTGATTGTTTCTATTGAGTTTGTCCAAATGTTTCACTGAAATGCTTCTAACGGTACAGGAAAGAAACACTGACACATGAAAAATAATATGTAGACACCTCATTCTTCGCCTTCAATGTCAATGGGAATTTTGCCATTGACTTAAACAAGTGCAAGATTGAGCCCCACCAGAACGAGGGAGGAAGGAACATAGACCCAAATCTTGCATTGGGCTGGGCCCCAACAGAGCTCCACTGTATGGAATTGTAGGATCAGAACCACAGATAGGGCTTGAAGGTTTGCTTACAAAGTAGCAACAGATACTTTCCTCCGCTGCAGGAATTACAGGGCAGAATTCTGTCTCCTCTGTTCTGCAGGAGGTCAGACCAGATGCTCGTAGCGGTCCTCTCTCATCTAATCCTCCTAAAATCCATCCACCTAGATCGAATATTGTATCTTATGATTTGACTAAGATTCACTTAAAATTCATATTGTTTGAATCTGATATTCGATGGTAAGAATTATGGTAAGTGTTGATCATTTTCCATTACCATCCTTTATCTGCCAAGCAGAACTGACAAACTGCTTTAACATACTGTAGCGGTATTGGTCCCAGGATACTAGCTTTAAGACAGGTGTTAAAATCCAGAACATTAAACCTTTTCCAGCTATGGATGATGATCACCTGAACAACAGAGGAAATTCTTAGGAGGTCTTTTCAACACCTTCACGTTGAAGGAGTCGTGTCTTGCATATTAAAAAGACAATTCCTTTAGCAATCAATATTGTTCCATTTGGTACTCTAACAATATTAGCTACAGTGTTATTAATCTGAAACCAGTCAGACCAGGTGGGGGAAATCTGACTAAATACCAGAAAATAAGAAAAGCAATCAAGGTTAAGCTTGAAATGTCACCTGAACTCACCCCCTTTATAAATGGGTATCCAGAGGTGGCTCCAGGTCACATTTTTCAGTAGAGGATTGTAACTTGCTTTATCTGCATGTGCGTATTCACAGAGGACACTTTTGAAGGAGGAATGTGGTCTCCTGCTAGAGCAGCTCAGGTATTTAAATTAAGATCTGCTGTGGCTGCTGCGGTTTTGAAGCCTGGATTGTGTGCTACCACACTGGCTCTTGCAGGAATCCTGCGTCACAAAGGCTTTTTTTTAATAGCTGTGAACTATGCATCCAATTAAGAGGAAGGTCAGTTTATTTTACTGAGTTCCCCTGCCTGCAACAGCAGGTCTAGACCCCAGAACACAGGGCCAGATGAACTGCTTGACATAGTCTATGTCCACACCTTGGTGTCCTGGGTTACATGACGACCTCAAAGGGAAATCACTACCACTTGCAGCATGGGTCCTGATGTATACAAGGAGCATGCACACTCACGCTCCAAAGCCAGGCAGGAACCCCCACTCTCCACAGTGGAGTTCCTGCTCCATCCATGGGACCTGGTTAGTAGCGTGTGAGCTGCTGCCACTCTTCAACACATGGCTGGAGGGAGAATGGCCACTCCCAGGCTGGGACGGCACCACCTCAGCAGAGAACCCTTTGGAGTGCTGGGTTGAGTCGAGGGGAGGGGTGGTCCTCTCCAGTGCCTTCTGGTGGGATGTCCCCAGACAGCGCCAAATGCTGGGGAAGGTGGTATCAGGAGGTGCCCACTCTGCTAAGTCACAGGATGGTGGTGGGGGAGTCTGCCACTGCTGGTCTTGAAGGTCACCCTTCTCACCTGCCGGGCTGGGTGTGGTACAGGAGCAAGGAAACCTCAGGGCGCCACAAAGCCAGCAGAGAACTCTGTAAATTTCCTTCCACCACAGCAGACCCCTCGGTACCGTTATCCTTTGCCACTTACTTCTCTACTAGGGGCTAAAGCCTCCCTCCTTCTCCTGGACAGTTCCCAACCCAGCCAAAGAAGGGAGTAGGCAGCCAAAGAAGGGGAGAGCCCACATTTCAGATGGCTTTTTCATAGGTAGCCCCTGCCACTACCGTCCCAAGGACCTTGGATTGCCCTAACTGAGCACTGACAGTGACAGAGTTAGCAGTGTAGTGCTATTAGCATGTGCATAAACATTTGGATAGACCTCAAATAGCTGGGGACAATGCAGTTGGGTAAAGGATAGAGTTTCAGCATTCACTTTGATTTCTTTGCTTCTGTGGATTTAATAAACAGAACCTTGCACACAATTAACATGTCATTAAGCCTGTTATTAATAGGCTCTCTATATATTCCTTTAAGATGCATTCATAGATGGAGCAGTAAGGGTAATCACTGACAATAAGCACAGCCTGTCAATCGAAAATCCTGAGGGAACCATTAAAAAGAATCATTAATAGCAACAGATATTCTGATTTCTTTACATCTTGGCTAGTATAAAATGTTCGTTTTTATAATAACGATTAGTCAAAATTATAGCAAGATTGCCTTTAAAATAAATTAAGATTTATTTTTCAAACACAAGGGCACTACAGGGAACTAAGCCAGTAGTTTCAGTTTTTAATGTTACTCCTGCTCTGAATTTAAGACATGCTAAACAATTTATTTCAAAATTTGTAAGGAAAAATAGAGGGTATTCTATACAAAGTTAGAAGCATATAGTTTACACCGGGCCTAAACTGCACATGCTTCTTCAGAAGAAAGTTACTCTTCAGGTACTGGTGATCAGATACTACAGCTTGGGGAGGCCGTGGAAATATGGATAGAGACATGAAAGAATGATGTACGTACAATATTCATCCTAATCACCCGGACTCTGGGAAAACAGACAAAACAAGCTAATCATTTTTTAGTTTTATTTCCCCCCCCATTTTTCCTCACACATGGACTATGACTTATATTCAGACCTCAGTGCATTTCACAGCAAAATGTACAAGGGAATCAAAGTAGTTGTGCATAAACCCAAACTTTTTTTTTTTTGCACACAATTTACAGTTTTTTGTTGAATGTTAACATGGTTATTTAAATTTTCTTTGATGCCTTCTTACATTCTTATGCCTTCAATGGGAAACATCTTACCAGATCACACAGTTATGAGTTCTCACTATGATGGAACAGGTCAAGCCATGTACAACGGCTGGTGATGGCAGATAATGTTATATACACTGATTGGAAGACAACATCAGAAGAAAAAACAGAGTAAGGCACCACTCTTGGAAAATTAAGGTAGCTTGTAGTAACAATAATGAAAGACAATCAGTACTATTCTTAATTGCCAGCAATTCTTAGACTTCAATAAAATACTTATACTATAAAAAATGAAGGATGTTTGTACCTGAATACCGTTTCCTGATATCTGATTGTATGTATATTAAAACACAGTCTCCAGCAAAATAAGCCTTTTCATGTACTATGAAAAAACTAAACCACAGTCCATATGTTCAATGGTCCCATTTAACTGCTTTGTTTTTTGTTCTGAACAAATATACAAAGGAGAAAAATCAAACCAATCCAACGGACCGCATGTAACACTGGCACTTCACCTTCAAGATGATCACATGCACGGAGATGAAGAAATTAATACAACAGTTGTTTTATGGTTGCTGTTCAGTTTGAAAGCCTTAGTCCTTGGGGAAAAAAAGGTTTAACTTCCTTACATTTGCAATGTGAATAAATCTTAAACAGTCACTCAGAAAGTGAGATTTAATAAAATTAGGAGCTGAAAAGTGTTCTGAATTATTCTTCCAATTCAATTCTTTCAAGTATACTAAAATGTTTCAGAGGAAAAATGTCTCCATGGTTACAATTCCAATCAATTTTATAAATCCTTTAAAAAAAAAAAGTAAGTCTCTACTTAGCCTCCATATCCCTCCGATGCATGCATACATTCTTTCTGAAGGAAAAAAGTCTTGTCAAATCCAGATGATTCTTAACACTGATTCCAGGTGCAACTTCTGAAACCTCCTCCAGTTTTCTGTCAGGAGGTTAATCACTGGGTATACAAGCAGCAAACACTTTTTTTCATTTACATGGGTACTGAGTATTTCAGAGTTATTAAACAGAGCTCAGTGCACAGATTCTCAAAAAAGGTTCCCGTGTCCCTCCAAAGTTAAAGCCATTGAGGCAACAACATTTCATCTGACTTCTGCTGTTCAGGAAGTCAAATGGTTTATATCTTAGGCAGCTTGCAGTAGGACCTGCTTAAAAGAACACATTACATAATTCAGATAAAATCTTTTGGATCATACAAAAACAAGTTGGTGAACATACCTGGCAAGGTGGTCTCTACACCTTTGATTATGTGTAACCTTTAAAGTGCCCTAGCATTTTATTCCTTTACGGTCATTTGAATTTGTGCAATTATAAAAACAGGAGACACAGTGTTATTTACTGTGTTTTGAGAGTGATAGAGATTAGATAAACAGAGGAACTCATCCTGAAGAGTATTATCTAGTTAGTGTCCATTTGCTGAGTCTGTATGGTGGGGACTGTTTTCCAAAGGGGGTTATAATACACCCAGCCATCTCCCTGCAATTCAAATGGAAAAAAGTTACACAGAATAATTATAAAAGAATTCACATAGAACAGTATTTTGTGATGCCAGGCGTCGGACTGAAGCACTGGAAAATAGAGGTACAGTGCTTATGTATACATAGATAACAGCAGTGCAAGCGTCCCCATAGTCTCCTGCCAAAGTGTCTTAACTTTGCTCTGGAGAGACCATCTAAGGGCTTGGCACATGCTATGTCTGAGTGTGGACAAGCTAGGATGTAAATCTACAGTGCACTAGTCTGCCACACACTAAGTCACAGTGTGAGCCCTACTATCATGCACTAGAAGGTCTGTAGTGCACCTTGACATCTGGCTGTTTTAAACAGAATATGCCGGAGTGCTCTACGGAACTTTCAGGATGTGATAGCTATGTCCACATGGCCAGCTAGCACACAGAAAGTTAACGCACTGCAGATTTACAGACCTTGGCTTGTCACACAGTAACTAACCATGTAGACAAGCCCTAAGAAATCATGCTCATTCCAGTCAAGTAAAGTGTTTCTGCTGGGACTAACAACAACAATGGCAGTCAGCACTAACTGATGTAGATATGATGATGGAACTCTGGCACCCTGTGGTCTGGATTGAGACCAGCACCTTATTTTGCAATAGCTAAGCAAACAGCCATCAGAGAGAAATGGCTTGTGCTCACAAGCAATTTGTGCTACATTTGAACTGATGATCTACAGATGAAATGGTTCTGGATCTTATTTACCCTTCTCTGAGCCACCCAGTATCTCAAATTCTGCTTTCAAATAAAATATCTGAAAACGTTGTTTTTTTAAAACCACACAATCCACATTTCTCCTGTCATCAGCCACTCAGGGATGCAATTAGAACAAACTACTTGATTAAAAAACATTCTTAGTCTGAAATATTTAGTTCTTGTGTTTGTAAGTTAATTAAAAGGTAGCAGCAGTTACCTTGTGCAGTGAAAATCTTAGTATGCAAGAGGGATATGCTCTCCCAAATTTGAAATGTTATCTAGTTAAGTCATTCTCTTTGTTCACTTTGCCACAGATAAATAAACAGACATCAGCAACAGTTTTCAGAAACCAAAACTCAAAGTTTATTTCGATTTTTAGATAACGCTCCGAGATCAAAGAGGTTACCTAAGCAAAATTTCTGAACCATGAGAGATGGGGATTTGTTACTGAGGGTATGTCTACAATGCAATTAGACACCCACGGCTGCCCCAGGCCATCTGACTTGGGCTCCAGCTAAGGGTCTTTTTAACTGTGGTGTGGACATTCAGGCTCGGGGCTCTGGGACTTTCCCACCTTGCAGGGTCTCAGAGTTTAGGCTGCAGCCTGAATGTCTACATCGCAATTAAACAGCCCCTTAGCCTGAGTCAGCTGTGTAGACATATCCTAGGAGAAAAGGAATACTCTGCAGTGGTTCCTTTGATTTAGCTTTAAAATACCCTGCAGTTTGTGGTTCAGAACCATATTTAGTTCTAAGTATTTTAAACCTCCTGCTGAATTGGAGATCGTTTTTTGCTTTTCGTATTTTACTGTACCTTTGTATTTGTGAACACACAAATTTGTCACAATATGGATCTGAATCACCACAGAATAGCTGAAATATATACCTCTATTCCCTCCACAGAGGAGAGCCAGGCTGCCTACCCTCGGCAGCTACTGGTTTCCACATAGGAAGGAAAATCTGCTCTAAGGCTGTCACACCAGAAATTCCTAGTCTTTTGGGGCACCTTTTACAGATAACAGCTTGATCATGCTCCAACCATTGAATGGACAAGCTGCATTAAGACCTGAAATCTACATTAATGAAAACAAGCTGATGAAGAGCTGAGGTAGAGAGACTATTCTGACCTTTCTTACTGGTAAGTCACAATGATGTTTTTGTTTGATATGCACACGATGCAATCAGCTCTTAGAGCTTCCCTTGTGTTTTGCTCAGATATTCATTGGCTTCAGTCCACTTTTAAACCATGTCACAGCTTCCATGTGTCTCAGCTGAATTGTAAAGGTTGTTTACTTTCAAAGAAAGTTAAGCCACACAAAGAAACACTTGCAGTTGTGGGATCATAATTGCAAAACCAGGGTGCGCTGTGAGCTAGTAGATGATGTTCTCCTACATGCTAGGGGTTTGGGTGCTCTTAAACCCTCCGGCTGCTTTACAAGGTAATAATCCAGATTCCCCAATAGAAGAACTCCGAAGCAAAAGGTCAAGTACTTTACCCTGACAGGAGACTCAGGCTGTACAGCAACTGGCACTAGGGTTGATATTGTGGATATAAGTTCTTATACCAGCTAGCAAAATGAGAAGTGTGTGTATCTATATATCCCACATTAAGAATGACAGAGAACCAGCAGGTACCTCAGGGTACGAAAGGGATTTTTCAAGTTAGATGCACAATAACCAAGTTCTTGGGATCTCCTGAGAGGGTTAGAGGTAATAAATACCCCATTCAAGTAGTCTGATTTCTAAAACCACTTGGTAAGTTAGTATAGAAGACTACTATTTTTTGTGCTGGTTGCGCTGGGTGAAAAATAAATTAGTGCTCTGGAAATAGAGTCACTGTATATTTTTATGCCTTTATATAAGCATATCAAAAGCTGCTGTTTCCATTTTTATTTTTATTATTTATGGGCAAGGAGCTAGGTCCTTAACACTTATGTTTCGTGCACAGAAGTTCTTTACCAACAACCATTTAGCTTTAGAGTCACCCAGTGTGGAATGGAAGAATAATAACATAACATAAGAATAGCCTTGTATAGGAATACATTGCCTGATATTTCATTAAATGTATTATATGATCCAAGGCCCTATGGCATGCTGTCATCAGCATTCCCTAGCATGTCCACTATAGGCTCATGACCTGTACGTTAATGTACACGCTCATATGTACATTTACAATACATACATTTTACTCACACACAGTAGTTACTTACTTCTTTAACAAAGTATTTTGTGCTCCACGGTGCCTCTGTTTCAGCACGAAGTCTCTCTTCATTTCTCTGCCGTTCCTCAAGGGCTCGCTTATGCTCTGTTGCTTTATCGATGTCTCCATCCTTCAGAGACTCTGTTACATGTTGCCACAGTCGCCTACAAATCAGAAGTCATGGGTATTTTTAGTAAAAGTCATGGACAGGTCACAGGCAATAAACAAGAATTCATGGCCCATGACCTGTCCATAATGTATACTATAAATATCCGTGACTAAATCTTGGGGGGGGGGCACTGCTGCAGGGGGGAGGGCCAGAAGCACCAGTTGCCAGGGGTCGTCGGAGCAGTGGCTGGTGATGGTTGTGGGGTCGCCCGAGAGGCTGGCTGCAGAGCTGCTCCAGCAGAGGCCAGTCTGGCTGTCCCAGGGGCCACTTGAGCAGCTGGTCCCAGAGCCAGCTGATTGGGTGGCCCCGGGGTCAGACAGATTGGCCATTGCAGAAGTCCCGGAGCTCGTGGAAAGTCATGGAATCTGTGACTTCTGCGACCTCCATGACACAGAGCCCTAATCAGAAGCTTTAATTGATTTCACATTTTTCAGTGGCTTCCTGGACTGCAGTCACTTGACGTACAGAACTGGTGTACAGCAGGTGAGATTATTTCACAATTATACTTCAACCTCTTCTTGGGCATGACAAATTGATGTCAAATAGAGCAGGATTGAGAGGCACAAGAAAAAGGGAGCTCAGAATTTAGTCTTCCATCTCTAGGCCAGCATTAAACTGCTCTCGACTGCAATGCTAGATTGGCACGTAAATGAAAAGGTATAGGAAATGTCAGCCTAATCCCAAATGGACATTTGTATGCATCTTAAAACTACCACACAAGTTTTGTTTCTGCTGAGGACAACCCCCGTAAAGAACTGCTGGGCTGCATAGAGGAATATTATTTGTACTGCGTAATGTCCAAAGGCTTAAGACCGAGGTCTCCCTATAGCAGGCACTGTACATACTCATGAGACAGTAATCATCTGTGCCCTGAATATGCACTTTAAGTAGCACTTGCCCGCACTATGTCTAGCTCTAAGCAGTGCTATCTATTCCTGAATATTCAAGATCCCTTTGGCTCTCCTGGTCCCAAACACTACCTATAGTTTGGATATTTAAGTCTGTAGATTTCTCCTAAGCAGCCTGGTTTGTAAGTTGAGGAATTCCATGAATTTTATAAAACAATTAAACAGATGTAAATATCTTTTTTTACCTAGACTCAAATGGTCCTTGCTTCTCTAGGGGCCGTACTCGTTTTCTTGTCACTGACAGTTTTGTCAAGTCCACGTACTTGGTCTCTCCATTGCTGTAGGTGAATTCAAGCACGCTATTCCATTCACCTTGTACTCTGCAGACTACAGTGTTTGTTGCATTCTGCTTTACTTCACCTGTGACTCTGGAAAACAATTAAAAAAAAAAGAAAAAAAGACCACAACTGAGAATAGACGGCTAGGGCCTATTCTGACTACCTTGTCATTTACATTTCATTTTGAAAGAAACTGCAAGCTAGTCTTTCACACATTCTAAATTTTTAAGTCAGTTACTTAAACTGTGCATTTGCATGGAGAAGCTGAGAGGGGGAATATTGAAAATGCCATTTTTCTATCATTCTTGTGATATTACCCAACAGAACTCAGCTTTTTGGCTTTAACTTAAAACTTGCAAGCCTTTTCACAGGAGAACTGAGCTGAAAAGAAACTGACATACGGGTTACACTAGTAAACCATTACTACAGTTAATATTTTTCTCCTGGATATCGAGTTTGATATTTATTTACATGTTAACAGTTAACTCTCTCTGTAGAACAATTATCTTCACCTGCTGGCCCTATAGGCCACTTGCTCTTTATTTTTTTAGGTGTATAATGCAAGTACTGCATTAGAAGAGACAATGAGGCAAGAACAGAGGGGAAGATAAGTACAAAACTCGAACTTGGAGATCTGTGTTCCATTCCTGGCTCTGCCAGAGATTTCCTGGGTGACTAAGAGCAACCAGGGTGTTGAGATGGATTCATGCTTCATACAACATTTGAGACCCTCAGATAGAAGATGCTATATATACACACACACAGTATTAGCATCACTCCCATGAGTGCATACTTGTGTGTGGTGGGGGGGGGGGGGGAAGAAACCCATGCCCAAAGAACGCATGACAATGGATTTACAATGAAGTGACACTGGAGAGGGAGACTCGAAAGCTTGATTGACCCAGTCAGACTTAGCAACAAGTAGCCAAATTTCCCCACCCTTTCATGCAGTGAAGATTCATTCTCCCTTATGAGAGGGAAAGAGTGAGAGTTTGCTAGCAATGCAGACAAGACAAGTGGTCTCTCAGCTGTGTGAAGTTCAAGGCTTCATGGGGGATGCCAGCCCCTGCCTTACATATCTCCAGTTATCTGTACAGAATGGATCTATACCATGTTACTCCCCAGGTTCTCCTTCCCACTGGAAACGAGGTTTGTTCAATGGTGACACTTCCATTGGTCCCCAGCCACATCTACATTCTGTGGGGCTCAGTGTGTGAAGTTACCGTAGCATTAACTTCTGTTACATATATGGTACTCTGAACCACCAGGAAAGGAAAGGAAACCGGGGGCCACTTACGGAGCACAAAAGGGCTGACTACTGGCCATATATGACTAGATGAGAATTCCCCCGTGGGATGGAAAGCTCTCAGCTGGCACAATGCTAGGATAGCCTGTACACCTCTCCTGGCCCAAGTGTAGGTGAGATGCCAGGGCCGAACTGGAGCACAACTGCACTCCCGCAATTCTCAGGTGACAGGTAGTCCTGTGGGGACTGATGGCAGCTGACGCAGATTAAAACCACATCCCCATGTTTGCCCTAACCTACACCGGGACTGTGGCTAGAGCTGCACAAGGCAGACAGTGGCTGCCTGGCAGCCCACCCCTCTCTCCCACACTAAGCAGATCTCAGCACACGAGAGAATCTGGCCCTCTGTGTTTTACTTGTAAAAATATGCAATATTCCCACAAGTCTTTACAAATGTTTGAACAATAAGTCTGATTTTACCCAGATCAAAAAATGTTGGAGTAGTTACCGGAATATTAGACGGAACAGAATTGATGCATCTTAACTATACATTCGTAGTTGAGAAGAACACAATGCGAGAGTTAGATGAACATGGCTCTCCCTACGGCGTATGGATTAAGTGGGTTAAACGGTTTTTGAAAACAACTATCACGGTTGCAGTAACCTACAAGTCTGTTGATTTTATGTTGCTTTTGCATCCTCTGCGACTTTCACACATCACTGAAGCTATTCTACATTATGAAATTCTCATTTATCTCAGTTCTCTCTCTGAACAGACTGGTGCACTCTGAGTGAATTACAGACTAAGATGACCAGTATTTGTGTTTACACATTTCATACGTTTATCAGCTTCATATTTAAATTGTAATACAGTTAAGCTGACACTGGGATGTTTGTACAATTTGAGACATCACAGTGTCAATCACAGATTGGTATCTTTGTTTGACTTAAAAGATTTTTAATATAGCTATTAATGTCTATTAATTATTATTTAGATATATAATAATAAATTAATTTAAAAATAGTAATTAGTAAAAATTAAAGCTAACTGGGATTTTAGCTCAATCATGGGTCTTTGCAAGTGAGTGATATTCTGTCACACTGTTAGTGATCATTATGACCTAAATTTCTTCCTATTAGCATTACCTTGTACTGCACAACCATTCCCAGTCCTGTATATCATGCAGCCTATGGCAGAACAAGTTTCAGCAAAGAATACCACGTACATCTTGATACTGGATTTTTTAAATCATCTAGATGACATTCATATTACTCTGAATATTATCCTCAGCAATGCAGCTGGGTACAGTGCAATCTTATCTGGCACAGGGCTGACGAGCAGTTATCCAACTGATGTCTTACAGCAAGGGTCACTCAAACCAAATCTATAATGGCTGCTGTCACAGCAACATTCACTAATGGCCCATGTCACTATAACAACGCTGCTACTTGGTCTCAGAGAACAAATGCTTTGAGTAATGTCAAAATACCATAATTTCAAAATTTCATTGAAAATATGTTCAAGCAACTGTGGCTATATCAATGATAAATGTGACACCAAATAGACCCTCTCTGTAAGAATTCCTAATTTTATGTAGCAATATATTACACCTAATAATCACCACCGTATATCACAGAAACCATTCCTCCCAAATTACTAACCATTACAATAAAAAAATAATAATAATAATAAAATGCCATGCTCTTTTGTTAAACACACACACGGGTAAAGAAAATGCCGTAACAAAATGATTACGAAGTTGAAGACACAATACGTAGGGTATGAATAAAAAGCAAATAATATGCTATTTAAGTAATTTAAAAAATTATGACAAACAAAAAGAACAGGTAAACTTCAATCATCAAAATGCCCTGGAGGACATATGAAACCTGTCAACATAATTAGATTTTCATCTTCCATATGAATCTTGGGATTGAGGGACAAAAATGTTTTACAAACCCAACTATCTGTATTAATTGCTCCTAGCAGAAGGGGCGGGGGGGAGGGGGCAGAGAGAAAATCCACTTGATGCTATCTAACTGCACCAGCCTGCAGATTTCTGCACCCACCAGGGTACTACCCTGGCACCACGGGTCCTCAAGTTTGAGATGCTTTTTACATTTTATTAAGCCAGCCTCCCTAAACTGTTTCTCTGCAACAGCAAATTGCAGAGTCGCAATAAACTGCCAAAGCAAATTACACGTAAAAGCCTCTATTGTTCAGGCCTATTGGACTAAACATGGAAAAAATATGAAATATTTAAGTAAGGGTTTTTAACAACAAGCACTGTGTTCAGTGGATGGTTGAAAGATGAATCTGCTGATGTCAGATAACAGTTCACAGTAAGTGCCAGAAACTGTTTCACTACAGGCCTCCTTTCTATATATTTTTCCCTTCTTCCATCATTTGAGTGTCGGCATCTTTGTATGGGAGTGCTCAAGATCACTTGATCTTACTACACTATGTTTTAAAAGGGATATCATCAGTGTTAATGGGCCCCACAGCAATCTAACTTGTCTCTTCCCTTGAATCCAAACGTCTTAGTGTGAAACTCATTCCCAGCCTTTACCTCCATCACACACAAAGCCTGAGTAAGTGTGTGGGAAACAGAACAGAGACTATGGGGAGAGAATCCAACCCCCAACACTGCACAGCATGCAGTGCATCACAGCCTCAGTGTCTACTAAAGCCTTTGGGAGGGAATAGCAATGACCACAACGGGTTTTTTTTTGATAATTTAGTGTTACTAATATTTACACTGATTATAGCTCTTGTATTGTATTCACCCCTTTTCTGTATTTAATGAAATTTCATTCATAGTTTATTCAGTATTACAGAAGCCTGTAAATGTTTCTATACTATATATTCCTAGTTATGAGACATGCTTTCAGTTGAAACGAATCATTGGCACCCCACCCTCCTTCTCAGGCTAACAACCTTGCAGGGTTTTGATTTTTGTTTTTTACTGCAAGTTGGAGATTCTTTCATCAGAACAGTAATAGTATTTTGATAACTCAGATAGAAAACGCAATATAAATACAAACATTAAACTTCACACCATCCTTTTGAGGCAGATGTGTCATCCCTGTTTCTCTCTCTCTCTCTCTCTCTCTCTCTCTCTCACACACACACACACACACACACACACACACACACACACA